TAATACTAATATATTAGTTATTTTGTTATTTGGAATTTAGAAAAAGCATTATTTTTACAATTTTTCGCACAAATTTAAGTGTGTGCGACCAACAAAATTATATCCAAATTAAAGAAGATTGTTCGACCGGAGTGGCCGGACTATTCGCTGCTGGAGACGTGGCTCGTTCGCACGAAAAAAAAATTAAACAAATTGTTACAGCAGTAGCCGAAGGGGCGATAGCTGCTCAATCGGTGATTAAATATTTAAAAGAATAAAAAAACCGAGTTGAGGTGTTAAATATTAGTAAAATAATGGAACTCTTGGCATTATTTTAACAGCAAGTAAGGAAGTTAAATGCTTTTTATTTTCTCTTTAAGAAATCTACAAAATCGCTAAATAATCAATATTTTGCATTTTTTCTTGGGCAGATTTTTTTCCTACTATCATTTTCATGTTGCGAAATTGTTTCTCAGTAATTAAAAGATAGCGAACATTTCCTAATTTCGGACTATTTTTTTCTAGTTTTTGGGCTGTTTCCCGAGCGTAGTCGAACGTATGACAAAGTTTAACATAAACCGAAAATTGCAGCATATAATAACCATTTCCTAGTAAATATTTGTGGAAATAACGAAAATCTTTGCGATTTTCCTTGGTTAAAGTTGGCAAGTCATACAAAACTATTATTCGCATTTGTCGATACCTATCCCGGTATTGCGGTTGCTTCATTTTCCGATTTTTGGCAAATTAAAGTAGGTAATTTAATTTTACTAACTCTGTTCTCTTTCAAGCAAGAAATAAAAGATTTAATCATAATATCGATCGCTATATAAACTTTGGTTCTTAAATTGTCCATTTTTATGGGGTAATACAGAATTTTGGTTAATTCCTCTCTAATTTGGGAGGTTAACTTATTTTCTTTTTTTAGTTGAGAAAGATTATTAACTACTCACCAATCAACAAGCAGCCGCAAAGGCTCAACAAAATCACTACTTAAATTAAATCAATTAGTTGGTCCACAATGCTTTAT